TTATCTCGACTATTTCAACTACTAAAATATTCAAACCACTAAATTTGGAAGCATACGTTAGTACTCATTCTTCTATGTCACAATTTCCTTTTTTCAGCTATTCAGCTTGTCAGGAAAGAAGTTGCAGCACACATAGAATATGCTTCCATACGAAGTCTTGAAAACTAATCTTAATCCCAAATCACTTCAATCATTTTACAAAGTTTCAAGATTTAAAATCTTGATCTCTCACTATTTCAACTTATTATTCCACATCCATCTTGAGATGGGAATTAACTGATCTCTTTGTTCTTATTTATGCTGATAATATACTTGCAACAATAAATATGGTTTTCTCATCCGCTAAAACTTTGAAACATCTTGAGAAACTTCCTAAATTTCTTGGCATGAAAATTTTGTTTAGCAATGGTGACCTAATCCTATCCTATCCCATGACCAGTCCCTTTTTGACTTGCCAAAACAAACACTGGTAATTCAAATATTACTCTATTCTAATGGTTGGGTTCTTCACCTCTGTTCTAATATTTCCTCCGAACAAAACATATTAAACTCACTATCATTTTCTGCAGGAACAAATAATATATTAGTTCTAATCTCTGTACTTACTTCTCTTCAATTCACATTGTAAATGCATGTCTATACAAAAAGAGAGGAGAGCAGTAATACAAAACAAATCTTTTCAAACTTTGACAAACAAATATAGTTTCTGGCAATACTAAAAACAGAAGCATATCATATACCGTGATGTTTGTGGAAAAGATTTATACAATATTCATCCTTGTCGTTTTCTACTGGTCCAATCTAAGAACATACCCTGATCTGGGTTTTTGGAGCAGCAGATAATATTTTTTTCCCAGTTCAGGATATCTTCTTCTTCTGTTGATGTTTCATGGAGATTTCTCCGGCGACGTTTCCAGAGACATTACTCTGTTTCTATAAAGCCAAATTCATCGTCTAAAGAAAAAATTTTACTTTGCAGCAAAATTGAGATTCTTATTACCATCTAATAAAAAAAGAAAAAGCCAAATGAGAGATGGAGAAAGAAAAAAACAGACTGCAGATGGGATTTAGATGAGAATTCAAAAAGAAAATTGAAAAATGAAGAGATTTAGATGAGAATTTATTTGATATTTGGGGTTTTTGGATCAATAATAATTACGAAGATGGAGAAAAAAAAAAACAGAGATGATATTACACAAACCAAATAGTATAATATATTTACATGTTTGTCACAGATCAGAACAACAGCAAGCACATAAAGCTAACAGAGAAAAAACCCCTTTAGGTTTTTCCTCCTCGCTGCTAGATTGAAACATTTTCTTTTCTAGCTTGATCTTCCCCAAGCTTTCATCGCCATTAAAATTGAAAACATTAATCATCAGGCAATAACTCGACGAGTATTGAATCGATAAACAGGAGATTGAACTCCCGTTGACACCATAATCTGAGCACCTGCAGTTGCTGCTGTTGTAGAAGGTGGAGGATTATTAGAAGGAAAAAGCTGAAAATCAGATGTTTGAAAACGACCTGAATCACCAGGCAGTCGCATGTAAGAAGTTGAAGGCGATCCCTGGCTTCCGTTTCTGTACTGCACTATTGCTTTGTATACCAGCGGAATTAGCCCCTCCATCGTCGTCTTCTTCTTCTTCTTCTTCTTCGTCTTCTTCTTCTTTCTCTCTGCAACACAAAGTTTTGAATTGAGTAAGAGAGATTATATATGGAGATTAGGAGAAGGGATGGTGACGTGGCGTAATGGGTTGGACTCCACCATGTCACGCTAAACCAGCAACGGAATTGTGAGTGGCAACTTCAACCCAAAAACCTCACCTACAATTTTTACATTTTCCCAATTTTTTTTAAATATTTTTATTAATTTTATACGACAATCGTAATATAATCTCTTATTCATAACGGATTCAATTTTATTGGGTCGTCTTAAACCCGAAACATAAATGTAATTGACAGTTTATCTTGACCGTAACGAGTTCAACTCTATTAAGTTATCTTAAATTCAAAACAGAAACGCACGTATCA